CCCCCCCCTTACACAGCCCAACTCCCGGTTTCACGCCGGCCGTGACCTGTCCCTCCCTGCTCGGTCGTCTGCCTGCGCCCGCCCCTGCGCTACCCGGCGCGTGGCTGGCGCAACAACAGCCGCCGCCGCCGCCGCCGCCGCCACCGCAGCTGCAGCACCATACGAGCATGCTCTCCCCGATCAAAGCACCACTCCTGGCAACGCCGCGCGGCTCCCCCGGGCCAAGGCTGGAGAGCCCCTGTTTTTGTCTCGGCGTCTCATCCGGTTCACCAGGCCGCCCCCGTTCGTGCTCGCCCCCCAAGGGGTGGGGGGCCCCGGGCGGCGGCGCGTATTCGCCCGTGGCGGCATTCTCCCGGCGGCCCGGGCCCTCGACCGGGCTCTGCCCATTGGTCCTGGGGCTCCGTGCGGAGGCCCATTTTTCCTGCAACCCGCTCGCGAACGGCGCCGCCGAGCAACCGGGCGAAGGGCGTGCCCCTCTCCTCGCCAGCCCCCCCTCGACAGTGGATCATGTTGCGAGGGGGAGGCTTGATCGGTCCCATTGTGCGCCGGTCGCGCCGGCCACTCCGGTGAAGGGGCGCGCTGGGTGCCCGCCTCGTCGGCCGTCTCCCTGGGCCGGTTGCCTGCCCCTCCCTCCGTGCCCGGGGAGCCCGCTGGCCCGACGCACTGGCACGCGGCGTTTGGGATCACACGCCTGCGCGCCGCCCCGCCGGCCCTTAACTCTGGCACCCCAGGCATCTCCTGACCGAACAATGGCATTCCGAGGGGCGGCCTATCGCACCAGAACGCTCTCAGGCTCATGGCTTGTTTCTCACCCTTCGGCTGGTGCCTATGAGAAAGACCAGGGGCCTTGGGGGGGGGGGGAAGGGGGCCGCCAGCTCCCAAGGCACGACGGTGGCGTGACACCCCCGCCGGCCCCTCCCCCGGGGGGGGGGGGGGGGGGGGGGGGGGGGCGGTGGTGTGCCCCTCTTCCCGCCTCCCCCCTGGGATCGGTCTCGGCGCCGGGGCACCGTCGGGGGGCGGGGCGATCGGCCTGGGACCCGCGTTTGGGTGTTTGCCCCGCCCCGCAGAAGCAGGAT